TCTCTCTCTCTCTCTCTCTCTCTCTCTCTCTCTCTCTCTCTCTCTCTTTTGTTCTTTCTCTCCATCTCTCTCTGTCTCTCTCGCTCTGCATATGAATAACCTTTGAACACAACAGAACACAACAGAATCCCAAAGTGTCGTTGAATGAAGGATCGTTGAGCGATTTTTGTCGGCAATTATGATGTTGAATTGGTCGTTATTTTTTTGGGGGGAAAAACAAGAAGGTGGCACGATACACAAATAAAATCATTTCGACGATGATTGAGATGCTTTTGGCGATATTACTGACACGATCGATCTATCCAGAGCAACAAAAAGGAATCCGTGTTTGCGATGCGTACACATCTGTGTGTGAAATGTTGTATCTCCGCCCATTTGACACGAAAAAGGGCGTCAAATTTCTCATCTTTTACACAAAATATCAAAAGGAACGACGATCATTACGCCGTTACGAAAATATTATAATTTTTTTTTTTGGGTGATCGTGTCGTCGTATCGAACACGACTCGGCTTTACGAAGGCAAACGATCAACGAATCCCGTTGCGTTACTTTGTTTATCTGCTTGTTTGACTTTTTTTGTTGTTGTTGTTGTTGTTGCAGTAAAAATGGTGACAAATTTTCATTTTGAACCGACACAACCGCAGGATGATCCTTCGGATCATCTATCAGTATGGTTGAACATTTCAAGTGCAACGTATCGTACGGCAATCGCAACATCGTTGTTCTTATTGAATTGATAAGATTCGCGCGGCTATTATTCGAGTAAATAGTGAGTTCGAAGAATTGATTTTCCGAACAATAACTACAGTTGGATTTTTGCACAGCAAAGAAACCAAATTGATAATTATAATTAGTGAAAAGATCGTCATGAACTCGGAAAATACGATGACAATACGGAATAGTTTTTCCATTGAAAACATCTTATCGAAACCACACAAAAATTTGACGACAACAGATAATCAGTGCAAATTAAAAAGTGCCATTGAGTGTCCTGACCATATACGGGCATCTGATGAAGTGTCTTCGTTTACCAGCGATGATATTGTGCTAAAGAAAGAACCAATCAATGGTTTAACCAACGATTTAATTTCGCACGATGACTTGAACAAAATCGGTCGCAACCATTTCACATCACCTGATTCAAGTGGATGCGAAGAGGAAAATACGGATAATCTCAGCGATATTACAACAGGAGAAACTTGTAAGCTTCATATATTGCATTTTGGGTACTATCAAATCGCCCAGCTAGCTAATTTATTAGTTTGATATCTGATTATGGTGGGGGGGGGGGTGATTTTCATATCGTTTTGGGAAAATTATTCAAGAGTTTAAGTTTAAATGGGAATATTTGATAAGCCTTTGTCACACTCGTAATTCGACCGAATTCAATTTGAATCAATCTATTTAAGAGCGGTATCATATTAGTTGCGTATCGAATTATTCCGATCAAATATTTCTTTTGACTTTCTTATACATTTCCTTTTGTTTTTCTTCTCATTGACAAATTATATCAATTAAATCTGTGGGTCAGTTATTATAATGGGACCTTGCAAAATATTATAGCTTTTTCCATGAGAAATTTGCTTGTAAAAACGTTAAAACTCTTCCACTTTCCTATTTTGAATACAAAAATGAAAATTTCCACGGGATTTTCCGATTTCTCTTGAGTTTCATTGAAATGAAAAATAGAAAATTGTCGTCGTTTGAAGCAGACAACAGAGTTTTTTTTTTTTAAATATTCGATTGTCTCTTGATTGAGAAGATCAAACGTGAATCCTTTGCCATTTGGATCCTAAAGAAAGTGGCACACATTTGATCAAAGAAATATTATAAAATTTTATTTATATTTTGAATGCTTAAGTCCATCTCCTTTTTATATGTCGTTAATTATGTGTCTGGCACAAAATTTAAAACTTCTGATAGCAAAGACTGAAGCGAATAAAAATGCTTTGACAGCGGAATGTTCTGAATGTTAAATCGCAATTTCTTATAAATTAAACGTCGCACAACGATAATTTGATTCTCAACAGAAAAAAACAACTAATCAAGCGAATCTACAGAGTAATTTTAGTAGCATTGATGTGATGAAATTCTTATAGGCTAATTGGTTGAAAGCCACTCGTCTTGTTGTTATTTTCATTTCCATCAATTCTAGACTCCTTTGAAAATATATTTATACATCCATTCGATGTGGCCTAGTTCTTTTTTTCCTTTATTATTAATCAGCGGCTAGGGGGAGAAATATATTCACATATTTGCTGTTATAATTGGACGTAGTGCCAAATTTGTGCGACGATGATGATCCAAAGAAATGTGAACTTTCATTTTTTTTTTGCCCAATAGTCCATTTGTTTATCAATCAAGTAAAGAAAAAGAATAGTGGTTGTTGATCAATTTAACTGTAAACTAGTTCTTATCTAAACTTTGAAAAATCAGAAATACTCGAAAATTCTTTTGGTTTCCGAAGTATCAATCGAATACATATCAACGATTTGAAATCAAATTTTGAGATTATCAAAAAACTCGGAATTTTATTCGAAGAAAATTCCATTCGTTCTTTCGGTAGATCATACGGTATAAGTTGCTTTTGAATTCGTATTGCCAAAATATTCATCAAAAATATTTCGAGTATTTTTTCTGCAATTTCGAATTGGTTGATGCATTTTAATATTTCGCATAATAACGCGGTGCAATTCAATCGCTAAACGTTGAACATTTTTAACGTTTTTTTTTTTCATTAAATATTCATTTCCATGCCAAAATCTATGCCAGCCTATTCACCTTCTGTCAAAATTAACCATTTTGTTTTGTGACAAGAGCAATGTTCTTATTCCATTTCCTTGATTTCGATCTGAAATACATGAGCCGATTATTTATATTGATGTACTTCGTTCATGGGTCCATAATCATTGAATATTAGTCATCATTCAAAGTATCCATAACATCAAAATTACCAATATTCCTCCCGAATTCTTCCCACTTGAATGACTTTTCTTGATAAAAATGGAAATCCATCGATTCCTCGCAATATGTACTGAATCCACTCGAATCTTTACAACATTCGCAACCAGCTTCGTACCAGTCATTGCAGCTAATGCACTACTTATCATCAACAGAATGAATTGAACTACGTTCAGATTCATGTTATTGATTGTTCAACTCTTCTAATTCAATCAATTGTGTTACACCATTCAAATGCCTTAAACAAAATATTGTTCTACAGAATTTGAACCAATGCAAACGATATTTGTAGTAAAATTAATTAAATTTCATACCTTGTTTTTATCAAAAAAAATTTACAATCGTTGACGTCATGGTGGTAATCGAATTAGAATCAATGCTTGGCTTTCAAGGCATATACCTAAAATGAAATATTCAAAGTATTTACTTTCATTGCATTCACAATTGATTGAAACAATTTCTGTGATACTCAAATTCGAATGTTCTTTATTTACTTGTTTTCAATAATGTTATAACGATTAACTAATCTATATTCGTCGTGAAGTTCAACCAATGGATCGACCTGATCGCACACTGGACATGGCAACGATGAAGTTTCCGGGGAATCTATACAGATGCAACCAGGTGGAAAAAACTCATCTAATGCTCTGGTTACTAGCACCAGTGTCATAAGTCCAATTAGAAGAATTACCTCGATATATACCATAATATGTATTATGGGCGCTTCAATTTTTCAATTCTTTAAGTTTGCTGCACAGCTTGAAACACTGATCGAATCTAGTGGACGAGAACGAAAACCCTGTTAATGTACAAATGTTTTTAGTAAACTGTTTCGAATTCGCTGATTCCATGGTGATAAGCGTATTAAACCGCATTGTTTTTTTACTCATTGAACGAAAGCGATGCATTGCTTTTTGCATGCAAAAACATTTATTTTCTGAATGAAGTAATAACATTTCATATTTTCGTGAACAGAATTAAAATTGTGTCAAGTCATTTTTCTATTTATTTTAGTCAAATTTTAACCAAAAAATCAAGCTAGCTGCTCTGGTTAGAAATCAATTCAACCAAATCAGTTCAATCAATTTAAACGCTCTTCGATTTCCAATGAATTTCGGATTCATTCGTTCGCTGCTAGGTTCGTTGTGTTTCCGAACCATTTTTTTTTGTACTTCATTCATACACCACTTCACTTTTGCAGTTTTGTTAACAAAATCTGGTATTTTTCTCATAAAAGCCATCATTGATAATTATTAATCATTATAATTATAATGGAAAGGTTAAGATTCAAGGGAAGCAAAATTAATGAATAATCATAAGTGTAATGCTTGACTTCAGTGCCAGTGCCATGTTTAGTTAAATGGATATAACCGTCGCGCCGTGTGATTTTGCCGAAAAAAAGTTTGCTTTCTCAAGTCATTTTGAGTATATACTCGATACGACATACTGAGTGAATATGTTGAGTATAGTTTTTTGTGTTTTACAATGTTCTTCGAACTATGTGCATTTTAAGATTGCATCACTTGCATGGACTGTCGTCTACAGTAGTCATTTCTCGTCAATTATTATTGTTCAATCATATATCAATCTCGACGAACTTAGCTCGCATCCCCATAGCGAAATAAGCATCCATTCATTCATACCCACATGACATTTCCGTTGCATTCAAAATTGATCATGATTTTTAAGCGCCAGATTTATTGGCACACACACAATACATATGTGCACCGTGTGTCATTGTAGAAAAATCGATCGATTAATTCCACTGATTAGTTTGCATGAGCGAAAAATTTCGATCGCCCAAATAAGATGAGTTAAAAATTTTAGAAAAGCTGCAATTCGTTAAACGATTTGTGTTGTGTACAAAATGTTGCTCAAGGAAAATGTGTGCGATTCAAAAAATGTTCTTTCAACAACTCCGCCCTAATGACTAGTTAAAAGTCACATTAAATGATGCATACACTGGTATTTATGTACGGTGGCCATCGTTCGATTAGGATTGGTGTGTCTGTGTGTTTGGTCGAAAAACCATTCGTTGATTGCCAACGTGATGTTAGCCGACAAAAACATGTTGGCTGTAAATTAATTTAAACAACGAAGATCATTAGAGTGAGCGTGCGCGCGCACGCGCGCGAACGAGCATTTTGCATGTCGAATGTGAATCGGCTCAAATATTTTGATGATTTTGCAATTAATTAGTTGCGATTGGAATTTTAATTGCATTGTGTGTGCGTTTGCATTTTTATTTCTTCTTCTTTCTGTAGTTAGTCTATTTCCGATGCCAAATCAAATGTAACTCATTAACGTTTTATTAATCGCACACGGCGACTGAGTGCGGGCAAGTATATTCGTGAAAGCTGAGAAAGAAATTAGCGGTTGTCGCGAGTGATGGTAATTGAGAATGAACAAGCAAAAACGAAATTAACCGAGAGAAGAAGAAGAAGAAAAACATAGACTCAGCTTAACTGTAATCGGCTTGAATCATCAAAAACTGCAGCTATTTTCGTTTGGCGTTCGGAAAATTCATTCGAAAATTATTTTTGAATTATCATTAGTAAATTGTCATGAGAAGAAGCGCGCTGCAATGGAAATGCTCATTGAAAATTACGCGCTCCAATGTTCTCGGCTTTTTTTTCGTGGAAATTCAAATTTTCACACATAACAAATAGCAAAATATATAGAAAATAAGTTGTTGATCTCAAATGTGTCGGTAATTGATGGGTTCTTTCACAAAGTGGCGTCAATTGCGATGAACGAGCTCCGCCTTAATTGGGGAGGTGTGGAGCCTGCCAATCACATATCTGGCTCAATTTATAAATCTCATTTTCAGCACTGTATGAAATGTATAGATTTTGTTGTTAGACTGACTTCATTGCCGTCTCCGACAGTCACGAATTTCAAATTCTGCGAAAAATACGGACTGTCATCAAAAGGCTAAACGGCCGCTTAACTTAAAAATATCGAAACACATGAAAATGTAAGCGGTTTCCGTTAACATTATTTCTGAATACAATTTATCAACGTGATTGGTGCCTATGAATGAATCATCTACGACCGTGCGCGTCACACCATTCAAATCGGAAGATTGGAAGGCAACTTCCATAGAAGGTTTTTTTGCTCTGAGTTAATCAACCTCAATAACAAGGCTTTTTAAGCTTCGAAGTGGAGAGAGAGGTAGAAAAAAACGTTGACTTTTCAATCATTTCAGTTATTTTATAAATTTGACGCATTTAATAAGGTGCGATTTTGAAATATAAATTATGAATGTTGAATATTGTAGGAAAAATAATCGTCCAAATTTTCGCTCTTGAATAAATGATCATTTGAATGAATTTCATGCGTATATGATGAAATAATGAGTGCAAATTGGGCCTCATCATTGAGACAAAAGACGAATCTAATGAGTATTTGTCACACTACAGTAATGTCGATTAATCGGTTGATATCTTCGAGTACATTGTTAGACGCTTCAGTAATCGTCGACTCGGAAAATTTTATCAAAAAAACAAATCTTCGCTATTTTTAGCTCAAATTTGTCTAATTTGTTGTTCTCAATCAGCCAGAATAAATTGTCACTGGCGTAAACAAAATACAGAGCGATAGAGAGAGAGAAGGAAAAAGAGAGCGAGGGAGAAGAAAAATAGAACAACCTAAGCCCAATGCGTGTTGTTGTAAATATGTACAAGAAATGTGATAATAGACAAGTACGATTTTTCTTTACATTTCTAGCCCAAAATGATGACCGAAAAAAGCGTCCACGTACAGCGTTCTCGGCGTCTCAAATTAAGGCATTGGAAACGGAATTCGAGCGTGGAAAATATCTATCAGTGGCAAAGCGAACGGCATTGGCAAAGCAGTTACGGCTCACCGAAACGCAAGTAAATACCAATGAAACAAAGACCCCTTAAATTTCATATGCATGATAAATTTTAACGATAATAATCTAATATTCTCTGTTTTGTCCTTCAGATAAAAATTTGGTTTCAAAACCGTCGGTAAGTACAGCCATTTTGTAACTATAAAAAATGCCCCATAGACAACTTCATTCATTGTCTTTATATTTCACAGCACTAAGTGGAAGCGAAAGTATACATCGGACGTGGAAACGTTGGCATCACAGTACTATGCACAGATTGGTATTGGTGGCATTGCACGTCCGATGGTTGTAGGTGATCGTTTATGGTTGTTTAGTCAATCACCGAATGTATCACATCCATCGCAATCACCGTTATTGCCACCAAATGATGCGTCCGCTGCATTTCGAACGGGTTTCAGTACGGGCACATCGCCCGTACCACCAACGCCAAATCCAACAATGTCAATGCAAACACAACGAATGGCCGGCTTTCCAAATCGATGCAATTTCTTAGGCGCTGACACACCACCAAATTATGATTTCAATAAACCCGAAACATTCTATCGTCAATTTCTTTCCGCACCAAACGCCGCACCGAACAAATACAATGATAATTACTTTCCGCCCAATCAATCAAAAGTCCTATTCAACAAATTGCTCTGGTCGAACGCGTTCACAAATAAACCTATCGATAAACCGTACGAACGATTTCCATTCGACGTTTTTACCAATGGATATAATGAGTCGGACACACTTTCGGATGTGACACCAACGAAAGAAATTGGCAACGGCGGCGGCGGTGGTATTGCGGAATTGGAACGAGTTTTTGGACCAAATGCCGAACAACGTGCCAATCATCCATTGAATATGGATACAAAATTCGGAGCGAAGGGTAATTTTGCGAATGGAATTCAAGATAATAGCGATTGCCTCAGTGAGGAGAATAGCGATGTGGACTGTGAACAACTTTGAGACAAATATTTTGATGTGACATTGAATACACTTTCACAGTTTTGTTGGAGAAACGATTTTCGGGCAGAAAGACGTAAAGCGACTCTTTCTCTGGAATAAAGAAGTTTGAAATTCTTTTTTCCTCTTTAGAACGAGCTTCAGTGTAATTTTTCGACATAAAAGCGTAGAACGGTTTCTACGTGATTTGAAGTCACTTTCAGTCAACATTTGAGTTTGAATTCAACAAAATACCAAAATGTTAAAGCCTGACAACTTAATACCAAAGATACAGTTTTTAATTGACGATTGTGAATTCATAGAGCTTCTAACTGCTGATTTAATTGCACAATCAATGAAAACGATTCGAATTTAAATCAAAATCAAAAAGAAATTATGTTAAATCCCTTCGAAAAACTATGGTGACAATGTCCACTAGACATGGAGAAAACTACAAATGCTTTCGAATTAAAACAATAAATGCCTTAAAATAGTTCTTAATGATGAATAAAAACGTTGCAAACGTGTTAATAAAATAACGTTGGAACATGTATCTTCAAAATGTTGAAAACGATGCCAAAAGAAATTATTTACCTTTTTAAGAGAAAATCGAAATAATTTTCAGGAACTTTATCAATTTTTCAATCATAAGATTACTCATATATTTATATCTTAACACAATGATGTATATCAAAGATTTGAATAAAATGCTCAACTTACTCGGAAAAACTTCATTTTTTTTCTTTTTGGACACATAAATCACAAAGATCCGTTTCAATGTTCCCTTTTATGCTATTTGTAACAAATAAATGAGTGAATCCAGAAATTTAAACGAAATTCTTTAAGATTTAAATTAAATTTTTATCCTAAAGCAGTCTGTAAGTTCAAATATTTCCTGACTTCTTCGAAGTTAACTGATTTAAAGAGTAATCTAAAAATACTTTCAAGCTATTGATCGGTCGATTTGTGTAGTGGATTCTGAGACAAAGGTCGTGTTTGTCGTTACAAAGCCGAGAATTAGTGACATCAAACATCATCGTAAGGGTCAAAGCCACAGAAAAATTTACGGTTTTTCTCTCTCCCAAACGCAAAACTTTTGTCAGAATTATGTCAACAATTAAAATGTTAATTAGAGAATTTTTATGGACTTTTGTCTCATTCATTATAGTGAAGCGGCAAAAAAAAGTGACAGCCGTCGTTGTCGTCGTCGTCGTCAAATTGCATGCTGTTGCCCCGAACATAAACGGTAATTGAATATTTTATTTGCATGTATTGACACGTCGGCTGTTTTTTTTTGTTTCATTCGTTGTCTTTTCTTTCCTTCAACCGTACCACGGGCTGCGTCGACGGTGTGTAAATCAGGTAATTTAAGCATAATATAGATAATTTATTTTTAGTTGCTTTGTTTTCGATACAGAACAAAACGATTTCGATTTGATGGTTTTTTATTGCTTGTGCCAACAACACTCTATATTGGCTATGCCATTCATCGGTTGTTAAAGCCGATGAGCTGAATTTATTCAATGTTTTCCCACTACTCCAGGAGCCGTAGTTTTTTTCCCTCTTTCTGCATAGGCTTCCTCGATATCACACCGACAAATGGCAATTCCATTTTCAAGCGATGCACAGAACAAAAAAAAAACAGACGATGGAAATAAAAACTCGACACGAGAGCGTTAGAATCAAAGGCATATGATGTTTTTTTTTGTTTCCAACAACATTTCGAACGGAACATAAAAAGCTGCACATGAACATGTACACATGTGCCATATCGAAAGTGTTGATTGTTGCACTTTGTGCAAACCTTTTTTTTCCTTTCGTATGGTCACACAACAGCCCAATTCTGATTGAGAATGAAATTGAAGTTGTCGTGTCGTCAAACGCAGCACGATAAAAAAAACTGATTAATGTGAAAATAAAAATTTCATTGCAACAATTGAAAAATTTATTTGCTGACACTCAAATCACAGTTGGCAAACCGAACGGACGTCTATCCCTGGCCGGTGATAAGTGTTCAATTGACTAAATTTTTGTGGCATTTTTGTGGAAATTTCGTGCGGTTTTTTTTACTATCCCATGCCGTTGCCAGACAATTGAGTGGAAGAGTGATTAATTTTTTGTTGGTTTAAAATCTAGTTTTCAATTGAAATCGGTTTTGGTTGAGATTAAAAGAGATTTTGAATAAATTTGAATATTGAGTTTGAGTAGCCTTGTTACGAGAAAAATACGGTGAATTTAAAATGGATAAAAATACTACATCGAACAACATAATTACACGTGCAATCGACTTTTACGAATGGACTTTGAGTTTATCGGGTATGTTTTGTTCGAATTATTTCAATCCACACGCACCCACCCATCCATCCATTCAACCAAAAGAGAGAAAAAAAAACGAGATTTAATCAATGACTTGAAAGCAATTCAATCAACATCATTCAAATTTAAAATGGGGTCGTGTGTTTTTAAGCGGAAAATAACATAATACTGTATCGTTTCCTTTTACATAGATACCCGTACAAAAGGGATGCTGTTTGTGGACTCACCAACGCCGACAATCCTCTTAACACTCGGCTACTTGTTAATTGTGTACATTGGACCAAAAATAATGCGAAAGTAAATTAGACCCTCTTGTTTTTTGTTGCCCTGTCAAAGTCGATGTTTCTTTCGTTCAATTGGCATTATTCCATATCTCGTCTTTTTTTGTTTCACAGTCGGAAACCGTTCGAGCTGAAACAGACACTGTTAACATACAATTTGGCTGTGGCACTTTTGAATTTGTACATTGCGTCCGAACTGTTGGTCGCATCCATTTCACTGAAATACAATTATATATGCCAACCGTATAAGCAGATTTATTCAAAGGACGAGCTTAGAGTGAGTGCCGCTTTTTTCTTCTTCTTTTCTTTTTAAAGAGATGAACTCTTTAGATACGCCTCGTTGATTATCATTGTCAGAACCATTTTCAAACGAAAGAAAAAAAAACCGAACAATTTTTGGCACTTTTTTCTGATTTGGCTTTTAACCTCTTTTTCTTCGCTCTTTTTTTCTGGCGCTCGTTTCAGATTACACATGCAATTTGGTGGTTTTATTTCTCGAAATGCATCGAATTTTGCGACAGTTTCTTCTTCATACTGCGTAAAAAGGACATCCAGCTGACCTTTTTGCATGTCTATCATCACAGCACAATGTTCCCGCTATGGTGGATTGGGGTCAAATACGTTCCAAGTGGATCAAGTAAGTTCATTCTTCTCTCCGAACGAAAAACTAATTCGGATTATGTTGCAAGTTTTTGTTTTTTCAAATTTCCGCTTGTGTCTCTTTCGTTTTTTGCTTGGTTCCAGCATTTTTGCCAGCTATGACAAATTCCTTCATACACGTACTGATGTACTCATACTACGGCCTTTCGACATTCGGACCCAATGTAACCAAATACTTATGGTGGAAGAAATACCTCACAATTATCCAATTGGTAAGCAAATACGAATCTAAGCAGTTTTTTTTATCGGCCATTTGAAGAATTGGCAGTTTTTTTTGTGAAGTTAAACCAAATTTCGCATTTTTTTGGAGTTTTTTTTTCATACTTTTCGCAAATTTCATAAAAAAAAAAATTCCATTGAGGAACTGAAAGAATTTTTTTCAAACGAACAAAAAGTTTCTTCTTAGGAAAACACGTTTTCGTCCAAAAAATGTAGAAAGAAAAGAATTTTTGTTGAAGAAAACCGATTTTGTGCAGAAAAAAAATCTTTTTTGTCCGAGATCCTCAGACTGAGAAACACCGATAAACACTAAAATGGCTCTTCTAACAAAAAATTTGTTGTTCTTTTTCATGAAAACTAATTTTTTTCCCTCTTTTCTCTTCTTTTTCGTCGTCTAGATTCAATTCACGGGCGCAATGATTTTGGGTATAAATGGAATTACAAATGGTTGTGACTTTCCAATGTGGATGCAGTATGCCTTAGTCATCTACATGATATCGTTCATTGTGTTGTTTGGAAATTTCTATGCTATTGCATACCTGTCGAAAGGAAAAGCAGAGCCAATTTCAAGCGTCAGCCATAAAACCATAGCCAAGGCCGCACTGAAACAGTCAATCAAGCAAAAAAGCACATAAGCACAAAGTGAAACGCGTGGATTTAGAGTTATTTTGAATAAATTTTATTGTATAATCGTGAAAACCGTAAAAGGGATTTTTGTTGTTCAGTAGCAAAATACTTTTTGTTTCATTACGATCTAATCATTTTTTTGTTGAGAAAATTAGTAAAAAAAACAAATCGAAAGGATAACTATAATCTAACAACACTGTGTGTATTTATTTTTTTTTTGTAAATGCCAGAATTCGACATGCAAAATGTTAAATGAAAAAACTTTTTAAAGCGTATAACAGTACGCAAAATGGTAGGTGTATAAAAACAGTTTACATTCGATGACTCTTCTTCAAAGAAAAAAAAACATATAGTATCATTGTAAATAAAATTTTGATTGATGGCCACACTTTTTAAAAACGTATTCAAATTTAAAAAAATAGAATTTCATTTCCAAAAATTAATTTTGACTCTTTGCATTTACATTATATTCTAAAATAGAAATCTCTTTTCATTTCCAAAGCTAAATCAATTAACTTTTCTAGAACGAAAAAAAAGAACAAGATTCTACTCATAAGTCGCACACGGGTGGAAGAAGTGAAAAAAAAATCGCGTGCGCAAAAAATGCATCCCGTTGACGGTCGCGTCCCATTAAACTACCGGAATTTCAAAAGAATGTTTGAGTCCTTGGCGGTGATGATGTTTGCTTCGGTGTGTGTGTGCTTTTCGTTTTTACTTCTTTTTCTTTTTCGTCGTTTTACTGTCATTCACAATGACATCAGCTTTGCGCTTTTGATTGCTTTTCTGTTGCGTTGATGTGGTCAACACGCCTGTGCTGGCTGTACCACTGGCCGGCGTTGAATTACCCTTGCCCGGTTTTTTCTTCTTCTCGAGACGTTCTTTCTCTTCTAGCTCCTGATTTTCACGTTCAATTAATGTGATGAGCGTGTTACAACGACGTTGAAGCTCGAGAGCCGTTCGCGATTTTAAGAACCAATCGAAACGGAATTGCGGCGATGATCTGTTCGAAGAGATGGATTAGGTAAATAAGGTGATTAGGTATGATTTCAATTTGGATCATGTCAAAAAAAAATTTTGGAGGTGAAAATCGAAGTAGTTAATTACTTACCGAACGGCCGATCGGAGATCTTCGTAGACGTTTTCTTTGTCAAATCCAAGTTTGTGCAGCATGCAGACGAGGAATCGGTCCTCTTCCTCGGTGTAGTTTTTACCTTTGTTATTACCATAAGACAAACGCAGTTGATGGAATGGAGCACGATAGCGTGACATCTGCGGCAAAAAACAAAACAACAAACTGAAGTTGCTAAATCGAAACTGATTTTCGTTCGATATGGGATGGGTCTCTTTAATTTGCTTTCCTTACTTCAAAACCGATAATTCAATTGATCGGCAATGAAAAGGCACAAAACTTGTCATCAAACCAATATCAAAAATGAAGTTTCTTCACAGAAAAAAAGTAGCTTTTCCCGCTAAAACTGCGCAGAATTCCAACTACACATACCTTTGCATCGAGTGCCCGTTTGATAGATGCTCTGCGTTGTATTTTCGATTCGCCACGTTCGATTTGCGCCATAATGCGTTCAATGTCTTGCAGTTCATGGCATCGTTCCCAAAACACTTGACTGTATTCCACAACCTCCTCTGGGAATTTTCCCTCAACATCTTTGGCTATGTTATCGATATCTTCGCGTCCGTATTTCTCGTTTGCTTTGATAAATTGATTGAAGTCACGTTTGGTCCAGTTTGTAAAGCCTTGCGTGAGAAGTGATTCTTTTTCGCCCATTTCTTCCTCGGTCAACTGTTCGGCCTCGTCGATTTTCTGCTGTTCATCGCGTTGCACGCGAACGGCTTCGGGTCCAAGTTCGGTGTTGCGTGGCACTTTGTAATTTAGCGTCCGTCGGAAATAGTAAATCTCCTGATCGAGTAGCTCGAATAGGCGTGGCGGGAAGAATTGAAAATCTTGAACGATTGGTTGTTTAGGTGGCCGTGGTGCTTTCGGCGCTTTTGGTTCGGATGTTCTTAGCGCTTCTCTGAAATAGGCATCGACGGCATAATTTGCTTTACGTTCACGTTTCGGCGGTTCAATCCAATTGCCGAGTGTCATCAGTTTGGCTTTTTCACGGAAATCTTCACCCTCAAACTGATACACATATGTACCCGAACTGGACGGCATATCCATGGTGAAGTTTCGCAACGAACTCTCGCCCAATTCATCCAGTTTCTGCTTTTGTTCGGCCGTTTTTTCTTCACATTTCGTTAGAATCTCGTCAATGTCGTCGTCGGTGATGTCCGAATCTTTCGAGGCAAACACATGATTGGCACCGTGTCGAATCATATTCAAAATTTCATCTTTGCCCAATTGATTCGATTTACCGTCCACCAGCTTGCCTTGCTGAATCACCAATTTGTCCAGGCGCAATTTAACTTCGGCGCGTTCCACCACTTTCTCTTCGACCGTATTTTCGGTGATGAAACGGAACACACGCACCTGTTTCTTTTGACCGATACGATGCGCTCGGTCCATGGCCTGCAAATCCATCTGAGGATTCCAATCCGAATCGTATATGATGACAACATCGGCCGTAGCCAAATTAATACCCAAACCACCGGCACGTGTTGACAACATGAATATGAACTTTTGACTGTTTTCCGCATTGAATTCGCTAATGTAACGATTTCGATCCTCGTGCGGTGTTTTACCATCCAAACGACAGTATTGGAATTGACGCCAGTGACAGTAATCCTCCAAAATGTCCAACATACGTGTCATTTGACTAAAAATCAATACACGCGATTGTTGCTCCTGCAATTTCGGCAAGAGCTTGTCCAAAATGGACATTTTTCCACAGTTTGTAATCAAATGCTCGTCGGTGGTGTATGGCGGGCCCGGTTCAGCTCCATCGAATAGGTACGGGTGATTTGTACACTTTCGCAACTGCATCAATATGTTTTGCAGTCGCATTTTCTCCATTTTACCGGCGCCGTTCACGATGTCAATGTCTTTCATAAGAATCTTTGTGTACCATTCGCGTTGCATTTTCGATAGACCAACAAAAACTTTGATCTCTTTCTTTGGCTTCAATCGCTTTTCCACCTCCGATTTCAAGCGGCGCAACAAAAATGGACGCAATACCGCATGCAATCGAGCCACTAAACTATCATCGCCCAAACACTGATTCGTGTTGAACCATTCGTCAAAATCATCGGCACTATTGAATACATCGGGCAACAAGAAATTTAGCAGCGCCCACAATTCATGCAAATTATTTTGCAATGGTGTTCCAGTTAGAAGTAATCGATTGGCCGTTTTGAATTCACGCAAAATTTCGGATAATTTCGATTTTTCATTTTTGATACGATGCGCTTCGTCGATGACCATGTAGCGCCAGTTGAACTTTTTAAACACCGATTTCTCACGAATACACATTTCGTATGATGTGATACACACGTCCCATTCGCCAGGCATCAACACATCCCGAATGAACACACTACGGGTGTCCTGATCACCAATGAGACAAACTGCTTTTATTGACGGACACCATTTTTCAAACTCGTTCATCCAATTTTGAAGCGTCGACTTAGGAACAATTACAATGTGTGGACCAGCATTATTCCTAGGTGGATGAGTGGATTTTGTTATATAAGTTGTGATTGATATATGGCAATAAAATTAGCTGGTGAAATAAAACCGAATTTTTAAGGCAATTTCCCGATTTTCTAGACAAAATTTCGATTTTCAGTTGAATTTTTTCCATTTTTGAGGCATTTTTCTCGAATTTCAAAGAAATTTTGATTTTTTAGACAAATTTTTTTCCATTTTATTTACTTGTTTTTAATACCCAAAATGATTTTCCGTTTCCAAAAAAAGTCTATAGACCAAATATTTGAACAAAATTATGAATCAAAGCACGAATTTCAAAATTTTGTGTAATCACGTGGAAAATTGTTTGAAAAATCATCAAATCACCATAAAACACTGTCAAATTTGTCAACAACAAAAAATATACTCACTTGAAATGCTTTAAATAACCAATCAATGAGATCGTCTGCAGCGTTTTTCCCAATCTGTATTTAATGTAAACAAAATCACATGAATTCAAGCCCGTTCCGTAATACATCTGTCACACCGTAAATAGTCATACATACCCCATTTCGTCGGCCAAAATGCCGTTGATTCCATTTTCATACAGTGATATCATCCAATTCAATCCACGGATTTGATAGTCACGCATTTCACCGTTTTCAATATAACCGGGCGATTCTTCGAATCGAAACACTGCCGACGATTGATTTTCTTCAGCCAATAATTCTTCATCTTCTTCTTGTTCCGTTTTCCTATGGCGATGACTGTGGAGCAAACGTACGCGAAAAGAAAAATCAAAACATTTTAGCACAAGTCCATTTGATGGCATAAAATAGTATTCTAAGCGGAAAATACTTACTCTCCCGGATCAGCGGCATCCTTGTCTTTGTCTTTATCTTTGCTCTTCTTTGGCCGACCGACCGTTTTGACTTTGGTCGGTGACTTGGGTCCAGTGTTTGTCATAAAATGTGTAAAAATTTCCGTTTGCTTCAGCAAATAATCGAATCGTTTCGATCGATCCATTTCGAGTTTATTCTCAAAATCTACCTCCTTCTCCGTTGTATTGGATGAAGATTCATTCTGTCATTGAAAAAAAAACCAAAACAATCAACATTCCACAACAAACAGAAACCAATTCTATTGAAACAATATAACCTCAATAAAAATGCAAACAACAAATTTCCCACAATTTTTTCGTTCTTCTGCAATCAAAACAATTGAATTGTTTTGTTCTCGCACATTGAATAATTTCACAAAATAGCCAAAAATAACATTTTCATTTCATTTAATTTTTTTTATCATAAATTTCATTTTGGGTAGTACATAAATCGATATGCAGTTTTGTGCAAGAACAAAATATTGTAAACGTCGTAGAAAATTCGTGTTTCCAAAATTTTTCGTTATTTTTTTTGGCAAAAAAACCGTATTTTTTAGCGAAAAACTGTGTGCATAGCTTACAGAATTTTCATTTGTATCCATTGCGTTCGCGTTTTCCTCGTCTTTTGACATCGTTTTCTTTGCGTGTAATTTTTTATCGAGAAATGCAATCAAAACAAACCAAATTCCTTGGTCACAATAAATGTCGTTGAATCGTATCCAACTACGCGTATATGAGGAATGAATGCTATACCAATTTACGATTTACGCTTGTTTAGCTGCCATACAGTGAAAGAAGAAGAAAAAGAAGAAGGAAAAAGAAGAAGGGAAAAGAAGCGGTTTGTCAATAAATACAGTGCGCGTGCCGCTGCAACTTCACTTGATTTGTGCGCATTGAACGCATCCATTTCGCCAACCGTTCGCTTTGTCTCTCCTTTTGCCCGCTCAATATGAATGTTAACGGGTTTTTCTCTGGCTCCGAGTTGAAGGTCGAGGCAAGTGTTGTTTTTTTCGATTAGAATTAAAAATATCTAGTTTTGAACACTATTTCCCGACTACACCTCACCTCAGCTCTATTCTATTATAATATATTCAGCCAGAGCTTGGCGGGGTTGAATAAAATAAAATAAAAAGAAAGAAATGATAAATGGACTTCTAATAATAACACACATTTATCATTGTCTCAAGCTCAAGCAAAAGCAAAAGCAAAAGCAAAAGCAAAAACTCGAATCATTTCAAAGCAACGAAAATTGATTTGTGTAATTAAAAAAAAACGAATTTCGAAGGTTATTCTTCGGAAATCAACAGAGAAAAAAACACGCAATTGATTAAATTCAAAATGAAACTAGTTTATTTTCGAATATGGCTGTATTATTTACACATTTGATTATTCGCTACAAATTATCCCTAAATCAAATAATTTCTTCATTCTTCAGCTAATAACTTTCGATCTGTCAATTTTTCTGTTGGCTGGTCTACGGTTTCTATCAGTAGATTGGCCTTTGAAAATTCAGAAGTTTTTTTTTACATTTTTTCATCTATTTTTTTTTTATCTACAAAATGGAAATTAGGTTAAGAATTATTGCATTAGTTGTGTTCTCTCTAGATTTTGATCACAATAGTTTTGTTGTTGATGTTTTTCTGTGGTCGACTGGTGTTGTTCATTCGGTTGCAACCACTTCTACGGCTGGTTGGTGTCGATTTGTTCATCATTTGCATGAACCTGTTTCGTATTCGATGTTATACCATTTCATTCTACATTCTTCTTCTTTTTGGCATAGTTTCCATCACAATTTGTTCATTTCGTTGTTTAAATGTTTTTATTTTACATTGTTTTTCTCCATATGCACTTCAATATAGGCCCAATCATGGGTACAATTCCTTACATATTAAAATATGCACATGTGCATAATTCGAATCCATATATTGTTCTTTTCACCTCTTGAAACATAGCATAACACAGAATGGTCTTCAATTCAGACCTAAGTCACTATTAATATCACTAAAATCTAAATTGATTTTGGTCCATTTAAAATGAAAATGAACGGTACAAATCGTCGTACATGTGCCATTGGACAAAATTAAGTGTACTCGTGCTCGCCGACGGCTTAATTTGCTCTGTGTGTATGTTTCATTTCATTTCCTAACAAGTTACAAAACACAAAAACAAAAACAAAATTCACTCTAAATGTCTAAATGTTCCCTGCTTTCGTCTTGTTTAGTACTTAAAAAAGGCAATTTTACATGCAATGGGATCCGTCATTTTCTTATTCACTAATTTCTTGGAACTGTATATTTTCTTTGTGCTTAAAATGTACGTTTCTTCCTGTTCTGTCTTCTACGCGGAATAAATATGGAATTTTAACAGCTAACTAATTGTTAAGAGCGAGGATTGCATTGTTTTATACATTTATAGACATAGTTTGCTCCACAAAATGAATAGAAAGCAGCAAGTATTGGTTTGTATGGTTTTTTTTTCTCTCTCTTCTTCTTGGAAAGCGCACATTTTTCTTCTTATTTGTGGTGCTTTCCCGTGTACATTTCAATGATTTCAAGTACGCAAGTGTATGAACCGGTGATCAATGCAATCACTGATATCACCACCAAGAAACCATTTTTGATCACAATCCAGTTGAATTTGCCCAAATCATCGGGATAACGGAACACAGTCTCAACGATGGCAGGAATGCAAAGACCTGAAATATTTTTTAGAATACAATTGGCACATGATTTACATTTGAATATTTTCGAACGTTTCTTTTTAAAATCATTTCAAGTCGAAAAAACAAAATGTTTACCAAGAATTGAGAAGAAAACAGCTCCAACCAAGCCAATGAATGGATCTAATTTTGGAACAGCAGCTGCAACACCACCCATTATCAAAATGATACCAGCACGGAACATAATCTGACTCATGTTGTGTCTATCTTTTGGAATGTTTGGTCCGATTTTACGCCATAGAATATCCATTGGCACATAGAATTGAAGGCCAAATGTGAACAAAATTGCGATCGCAATCAAAATATTAGCTGCTTCAGCAAAACTGTCGATTTAAAAATAAATATCATTAGATTTTTTTTTCAAGTTCGCATGAAATTACTTTTTTTTCTCTTCAATTTATTGCATTTGATTGCTACTCACGGCTCTCCTTTTGGTAAATTCAATGTAATACTCGCTTCAACTGCGTCACCATAAACTGCGTATCCCAAGAATCCAATGACGGTGTACAAGGACATTACAACAAACATAGCTGTATTCAAAACGCCAGGACAACCAAGGAAATGCTGTGGTTTTTTCATGGAGTTCTCAACTGGCATCACCACACCAATACCTTCCATTGCGAATATGACAGTGCTATCGTGACGAGAAATTTGATGGAAATTCGATCAAAATCAGATATTTTTGCTCTATTTTCCAATGAATTTTCATAAGTTTGGAACCAAAAAACTGAATTTGATTCCGATTTGAAAAAATGCATAATTTTTGTAAAAAAAATACCTGAAGAACAGAGGAAGTTGTCCGAAACTGGAGAACTTTGGCCGATCAAGTTTAATTGGACTGCTGAGCATGTAATACAAAGTGATGGTAAATGTGACAACGATACATAAATTTGCAATCGCTGAGAACGGCACCAAGTATTTCAATTTCCGAATTTCGCCGAGAATTATGCATGGCAATGTCACGACGGCAATGTAGTAGCGAACATCCCAATCCACACCCAAACGACTGTTAAGCACATTAGAGAATGATGTTGCAATGAAAACGATATACACACAATTTGCACCCAAATACGTTAAAACCAGGCCATATTCCGAAAATGCTCTGTAAAAAAGATGGGGTCAGCATTGATTAGCATCAAGTTGTTGAAACGAAATCAAAGTGAAACGGAATCGAATTGGAAAAAAAATGTAATTAAATCTTTTAAAAAATAACTCAACATAATATGATTATTCCACGAAAACATTCCCAACGTACATTTTTGTTCAAACTTATCCGAAATTTTCGTGTAAAAATGTGACAATTTTTCTCCAAAAAAATCTAAATTCAAATATTCAACCCTCAATTGATGTTATAGTTCATTTGCAATAAACCTGATTTTCTACAATCAAATATTCGACTGAATTGTAAGACAAATATTTCAAATATTAAAGAAATCTCAAATTTCGCTCAAAAGCCATTTTTTTATCGATTTTCTTCTGAAGGCAATGAGATAAACCGAAACAATCTGTATTACCGTTTTTTTTCTCCACCGTAGTAACATACAATCAGAACAATATGAAAGAGTTCAATGTTTACTGGGTAGCAAAATGAGATCGTCAGTTAAAAATGGTTATACTCGAAAAGAAATGACACGTTTACACGTGTTTCGACGTAGATTCAACGTTTTTTTCCATTGTTCAATATCCTGCCATAAAACTTGTTTACAATAAAAATTCCACTTTGTTATAAATTATTGCGATTAATCTGTATTATCAATTTGACATAAATATGTCTATCGGCCAAAATTGACCATATATGCGTGTGTGTGTGTGTGTATTCGCTACAAATAGTTTTTCAACTGACAGTTCTGTGTCGTTTACTCAACGAGCTCAAGCAGTATTCCGTGTGTTTTTATTTATGTCGGACGCCGTAGAACGCAAGCACGTTCGTGTGGAATAAAAAAAAAATTAAACATAGACTTGAAAATTTGGGCCTAAAAGAAAAATTATAGCTGCGTTCGACATAAAACCGTGTTTAAATTGTATTGTATTGTGTTAAAAACCGAACTATAGAAAAATGACGGGCAAAAAGATTCAAAATGCGACAGGAAAGGGTCGAACTAGTTATCAGAATGCGGGTAATCATCAAATAGTCAGTACGAATAAGAATCCAATAAAACAAATGACCACGGCAACAGCAACTGCAACCACCAACAGCAGTGGTCCGATGGCCAACAGTAGTAAGTTCAACAGTATTCCACCAGTTCCGGTTACAAGCACCGTCATACCAATTGCACAACCAAATATGTCAACGCTGATAAAAACGTGTGAAAATTTTAAATATCTTCCACGTTACACTACGGCTCTAACAAAACCAGCGGTCGAACTATTTCCCGCTGAGGAATTGGATGGCATTCAATTGGAATTGGAAATATTGTTATCGACTGTTGCGTTGCGATATCGTAGCTTGAAAAGTGGTTTTGATTCATTGGATCGTGAGGATAAAAATCATAAGAAAAATGAAAAGTTAAGCGGTAAACGTAAGCGTGACGATGCCAATAAGAAGTCAGCCAAAGAAGCCAAAACGGCAAATCAACCGGCAAAAATTGCCAAAGTCAAAGCGAGCGGTTCATCCGATTCACCAGCCCATTCGCAACACACTGACGATAGCATGGATGGTACAATACCACCACCACATACAAATAGTCAATCGTCCAGCATCGGTCAAAGCAATCCAAAAGTGTTAGTACCGAAAAATGATATTCCGAATAAATTTTGGCTTTCCGTCGAACCATACTGTATGCCAATCACACAGGAGGATGTAAAACTATTGGATGATATGATTGAAGAGTATTCGACACCGTTGGTGCCACCGATACCAGAACTCGGGCCACATTATGCATCAAGATGGGCAACCGAAGATTTACGCGAAGAACAAGACAATTCCAATGCAAATGCCAAAGCAAACAAACGTTTCACGAATGCAGCCAACCCAGAGGTCAACAGCATGTTAAAGAAGGGCGAAAAAGTGGCCAACGAAAAAATGATGGCCGAAGGTGAGTTGAACTGAAGAGATTTTATATAATGAGCTGATTATTATTATATTTATATCAATAATTTTGCTCTTTTTTTTCATTCTTTCTAGGCATAACTGGGCCGTTAACGCAGCGTCTTGTGGCAGCTTTGCTCGAAGAAAATTTACTAAATTCCAAAGGTGTCGCCGATATTCTTGGCTCAAGTGATGGCCTTGGAAGCATGGCCAATGAAAGTAACGACAGTTGCGGTGAAAATAACTCGTCATCGGCCAATCGTAGTGCGGCCACTCCGATTGCATCGCTGCTGCGAAATGGCATTGACGTTGAAATTCGTCTAAAAAAAGAACTCATTGAACTAGGCATTTTAGATATTAGTGATTTCCCCAAGGAGAAAGACGATGAAGTTTTAAATGAAATCAAACGCGTGCGCACCGAACTCGAATCAATTGCCGAATACAATTTGAACGAGCTGAAAGAGTTGCGGCTGGCGGCCAAAGAGGAGATGAAACGCTTGGAAATCAAACGTAAACTTGATGCTGTCGATCAAGAGGTAATAGAGGATTAGTTTTCATTTGGATAAAATCGTTTGAATGGCTTTGAAATACTGCAAACGACTTTTTATGATGTATCAACCTCTTCCAAAGAATTTTCAACTTTTTTTCATCTTTTCCAAAGCTATTTATATTTCTCTCAAAATCTAAGCTTTCAAATTCAAATTCTTATAAAATGAATTTTAACCACAATCACTTTGTTCATTCCCAGTTAATTGAATCGTATAAACGAGTGTGGGCCGCCAAACAAAAACGACATCCGTTAACTAAACAACAGAAAAATGAAATCTATCGCCTGATTGAGGAACAAAAGCGACTGGGCGATCAACTGGAAGCAATGCCATTCCCTGGATTCAACAAAACAATTTGCCAACCAAAATCAACCGAATAATTTGGATGATTCAAACAATCTAATCACTAAATGCATTTCTTTGAAAAGTCATAATTTAATTGAAATAAAAAGCCATTTCTGATGAGACAGAGACGTCCGTTTTTCATATACTTTGATACTTCTTTTTTTTAAATAATGAAAGTGCTTAGCCTTCATTTATCGATGAATCACTTACCTTGCGAATCTCGAGTATTTTCTGGCACCTAACGGACCGGTTTCGAACACTTTCTCCGCTGTTTCCGCAAAACCAAGTGCCGGCACTTTGGCCTTTTTACATACTTCATGCGAGGTTCTAACCTATTGAGCAAAACAAGAAAGTGAAATACAATTTTAGATCGAATGATTTGGATGGATGTTCAGTCAATTTGTATTCCAATTTGGAATTTCCGGAGAAAAATTATTTAACTTTCACTTTTTGCCCACTTTTCTGTGTTTTTTGTCTTTTTTTTCTCACAATTCGAGTCTTTTTCCGGTATTTTTATTTTATTTCTTCCAAAAAATATCCTCTTTCTAATCATTTATTCTGTCTAAAATCGTGCCTTTCATCATTCTTTGCGAAAATGTACTCTTTTCATCACCTTTTAATACACACCGAATTCTTTATAAAAAAAAAACCACGAAGAAAAGAGTTTAAAGATAGACTATATTCGAATGCATATTCCCTCGCATTCTTTCGTTTTATTGAAATATTTCTCACGTAATTTACTTGAATGGTTCCACTTTAATTATACACAATACTGTCAATATACATTATTAATAGCAATCAATTACTTACTAGAATGTGAACACAATGGGTGCAAATAAATCCAACAATGATTGTACCTAGCGCACCCACCAATAAACCGGAATTTTTAAATGCCATGGGCATTGCTGAAATGACGAAGAAAAAAATATATGAAAAAAACTTCTTTTTTTTTATTCCATGTAAAATGGTTGAATTGTATGTCACATACCGAGAATGCCGGTGCCTAACGAACTTTTGAGCAGATGTGCAAGTGAGCCCATTGTTCTAAAAATAATTAATTAATATATATATAAAGAAGTAAAATGTCAGCATCATCATAAGAATCATATATAATTTTCGTTTAGTTGAAAACGTATTTCGTCAAGGTCGATTGAAACTTACGAATTTGAGCTTTTCGGGTCTCTGTTTTCGAACGGATTGTACTCGCTTTCTTTTCCATTTTCGACTTTTTCCGTTAAAACCGTCCTATATTCGGCGCAAAGCAAAGAAAACATGGAAAAAAAAGTAGCAGAAAAACAAATTAATTTCGTCTTATAAGAATGGCATCGATTATGGTTGATTTGCTTTTTTTTTTCTTCTCGTCGAATCTTCCGACGTCATTCCACTTGAATCGATCTATTTATGACCTCAAAAGGAATTTCACCCGACAAATGCAAGCATTTTTATGGTGATCGATTGAGTCGAATTCCACTTATTGAAGATAAAAAAAAGGCGCAATTGCCAAAATATTAGCCCAATTCATAATCGTCCAATTAAACGTACTCACACAATGAAATGGACTTTTATTTTGGTGTCTCTCTTTCTCCCTCTCTCTCTCTCTCTCAGTCCCTTTCTCCATTTCTGTTGATGTTGAGAAGGGGATCTCCCTACTTCTGTTGATACAATTTACGCTTCAAGTGAATCGCACAAAAAGAACTCGAAATATGCAAGAGGAATGTTCTCGCACAGAAGCGTGATAATTTCACGTTTCTCGCATTGTTGATAACGCGAGGGAGTCACCTGTGAAGCAGTTATTGTTCTTATGGAAATCTATGAATTCAATCATTCAAGTCATCACCTTGCTGCTACATTTGAATGTGTTATCAGTTCGTAGAACTTTTGAGTATATTGCGCATTCGCTTTCAATGAATTGAAAAAAAATTCTTAGCGATCAAGATCTTGTGCAATTGCTATTTCTATGACGTCTTCACATTCGAATCACACTGAACAAGCGAGAAATATTGAGTGAGAGAGAACGAGTGAGGAGGGTTGTGGAAGAATGTTCTTATATTGGAGGATGGTATCGCATACTTACGTTGAATTAAAATCGCTCAGCGTAAACACCGAGCCCTTATTGTCCTTTTCCGTCGACATGCTGCGAGGAAGAAGAAAGCAAAGAATCAATTAACACAATTAGAATAAAAAGACGAAAATAAATATGACATTTGATATGTTTTTTTTCTTTATTTAACCGCAAACTAAATATAGAGTTGTTTATTCTCTAACGAAAAAATTATTTTTTATCATGGCTTTTTTTGGAATGAAACAAAAAAAAATAAAAAGAATTGCATTTTGTACGTTGTAATGCAATTAACACGACCAACAAAAAAAAAACAACTGAATAGGACAAAAACTTGGCATTTAAAATTGACTCCAATTGAATTTATTACACTCAAAGTCATTTCGTATGGTTATCTTTATGATCATCGCGTTTTTTTCCCCAATAATTTTTACGAATATATAATTTCTGGATTTTGTTTGCCCTTTCTCACTGGCTCTCGATCAAATCGACAGGTAAAATGGCAGAAAAGGCCAAATGATCAAAATAACTTTTAGAATATTTTGAATGATCTTAAATTTTCTTCACAAAACTAATTTCATTTTATCTTTAAACAACAATCACTCACATTTCACTGTAATTTTTTATGTGTCCAACTTTTTGTTAATATCATAAAACTCAATCAAACGACAAAAAAAAAATAAGCCGAAATGAACAAAAAAAAAAACAGCAGAGAGACAACACGTTGATGCGAGTGAACAGTCCGGCACAAATTGAGAATAACTCTGGAAATCGCCTAAATAAGTTTCTAATCTTTTTTTTCCACCCGAATAAATAAATATCAGACATAATCTGTGAAAGATTTATTAACGCAGCTCTATGTTTATTATTATATTTATGTACGCAGCACCTATATTTTCAGTCAATTAGATTATTATCAATTTTAGCGAGAATTTTTTTTTTTGTTTCGTTGAACCGTTCGGTTTGATTATTTTAATTGCCTAACGAGTTCGCGTCTCATGTGTGTGTTGTTAGTTTCGGTTGTTGTTGCTTCGATTTCAAATACGCACATCTATTGATACCTGTAAAATTAATGACTTATATCGATCGAAAATATGATACTGATAGAAACACATTTTCGCTAATAAATTATCTTCTCCTCGTGTGACGTTATTACCGCCGTCCATTTCATGGATGGTTACCACCGTCACTAATTCTGAACATGACGTGTATATGTGGCCATCCTGAGTCGAGAGAGAAAGAGAGAGAGAGAGAGAAAGAGAGAGAGAGAGAGAAAGAGAGAGAGAGAGAGAAAGAGAGAGAGAGAGAGAGATGAATCGCAGTCACTCGTACCAATTTCACCAATGTGACTCATCTTATTTTGTAGGAATTCGATTGTACGCGTTCACACATTCACTTTGCAGAGATCGAACGAAAAAAGAAAATTGAAATGAATGGTGGCTTTCACGTTCATTTCATGCCGCACAGATTCACCTAATCAACATCTATTACACTAAATTGATCAATTTGGTCGACGATTATCAGACAGACTAGACCACACATGACAATTTATTTTGCGTTGTTTGCGATTCGGAATTTTTGATCGTAGCTTTTTTTCCATCTACAAACAGTTTTTGTTTCTCCGCTGGAGAAAACTGATGAAATGAGTCACACGGCGTTCAAGTTCGAAAATATTCCATGCAAATCAGATGTTGGGGTTAATCTGCTACTTTAACGTTTGGTTGGCATCCGCCCAAAGGGGTACAATGCATTTTTTTTTTATCGCTTCATGCTCCGTCACACTCGGATCGACGTATTTAATGCGTAATCAATCACTTCAATTCACATTGACGCCATTTCCTTTGTTTGTTTCCTAACTTTTTGATAAAGGAAAAACAACCAATCCATTTCTGTCGTAGAAACACACTTTGATTGATAAAATTGAAGAGATATTTGAAATTTTGATTAGTCCAGTAAAATCCAGTTGGTCTCGTACAAAAAATTTTTTTTGTTGAGATTCAAAAAAATCCACACGCAGATTGATCAATCACTCGAATAATTAAAAAAAATTATATTTTTCGAAATTGATCTTGACCAAATTGTCAAACTGAAAAAAAAGCGTTAAACCGAAACAAATCTGAAATAGTGAGATTGTGTGATTGAATCCGACCGACCTATCCAATTTATTTTACAATTGCATTCCCTCGGTCGACCTCGTTTCCATGGGTTTCCGTGGTCGCATTCCAGAGATAGATTTGAAAAAAGCTCTTACGTAAGAAGGACAGCGATAAGATGATTCAATCAATCAATCAATTTGATTGTGTGTGTTGACAATTTTTTGTCGAATTAGACGTTTCAATAAAAAAAAAAACATTGTAACACTTCTAAATCGGTGATAGCATTATTCAAAATGAATCATTCGCACTGGTTCTTTTTTCATATGATCTTATTTAGTTGGAAACGAGAGTCCAACAGCCCATTTATTTCAACATCGCATACAATAATCGATTGCGACGCGATAAAATGCTAGCATTATCGGAGAACATATATTTCCTGAACTGCATTTATGCATGAATGGGAAAGAGATGCAAAGCAAAAGAGAAGCGGCAAAAACGGGAAAAAAAGAGTGAGAGAGAAGCACATCAAACTACTTCCATCAGCTTTGACACTATAATGAGACACATGTCTCAATAAATTGCAGCAAAATGTTCTACAAATTAAAACAAACAGCGCGATACATAAATAATTAAACAGCAGTAACAAAATGATATTACAACGCGAAAAATACACAACAAATACGAATTCTATAAAAAATAAAGCTCAACAAAAGCGTAAATTCCGAATAGACAGAATGAATTGAATAAAAAAAAAATATGCCAAGGTGAGAGAGAACAAAATCCCATATTATCCCATAATGCGAATACATTACTGTGTAATTATTGGAAAACGATAATTGTTGCGATTATTTGCGCATCGTATACACGTTTTTGTTGTTGTTGTTGTTGTTGTTGTTGCATTGTTTGGCCGGGCCTTTGTCTACCACACATAGATCACTCAATTGAGTTAAATGGACCGTCTCTTCGTTTGCAACTGCGCAAACACTGATACACTTATTCGACAACGGGCCGGTGAACAAGTGCATTTGGGGAGCACACAAAAAGCGGCTTGCTTATCGCATTTTGCAAACAGGCATGAAATGCAAATGAGACTGGCCGCTCGCACGCCGCGGGCAAAAATTCCTTCATATCAATAAACAGTTAATAATTGATTTTGTGCGCAACATTTAACAGCCGAATTTAACGCAAATCTTAATTTTTTGCTGTGGTCCAAACGCAGCACGCAGACCACAGCTGAGAAATACAAAAATAACAGCTATGCCAAGGGTAAATAGAATTGGAAGTTGAAAGGGAGAAAGAAGCGAAAAAAAACATTCAGCAACTTTGACCTTCAACACATTGCTACAACTGGTGAATCGATTGTATTTTTGGACATTGATGCAATCTCCATCTCAAAATGTTTGAATGAATTTTTTTCTTGCCTCGGACTTTCATTTCAATTGCTAATGAGATCTTTAGAAGCAGCAACCGCACAATGCAAAAGAGAGGGAGAGGAAGATTGAGATAAAATTTGTAACAATGGCAATATAACACCTTGTTTATAGCTTTTATACACTTCCCATTTATTGCAAAAATTATTCATCTTTTTTCCACCGTTTCATTTTAATATTGTAATTTGTCACCTTTTTTCTCCATTTTAAATGGTGAATTGAAAAACTGATGGCTGAAGATAAGAAAGTGTTGGAAAAAATGAATTTGACTCGGAAAAAATGGAGTGAATAAAAAAAAATGTCTAACGAATCGACAGGTGTTATTCTCACAGAGCATACGTCAAAATATGTTGCTGTCTGCACTGTCGATGTTTGTGGTTTATTGAAAAATGGAATAAATGACACTAAAAAAACACTCATTAATGCGATAATTGGATTCGGAACACCGACAAAAAAATCGAATAATAAAGTGTGAGCCATTATACGGTGCTTAAAATTAAAATTGGACGAATCACAGAAAAAAAAACGAGAAAAAAATGGAAATTCGAGACGATTGTGGTCGATGTATTATTTATCGAACGAAACGCATTAAATATTTATAATTGGCGTTACGAATTGTAAATATGATATAAATATGGTTTCATGTGCGAAATAAATTATTTTCAAACAATTAGCATGAAATCGGTCGCCCAAATTCAAATGGTGGAACGTGTGCGTCGCGTGCGATAGACGAAAGCGGCTAAACAACATTGTAACTAATTTTTTTTCGTTTTTTTTTTTGTGTTTCGTTTGTTCGTTTTTGTTGTCATTAGTCTTTTATAATGAGTATTCATAAGTCAATGTTGTGATTGATAGACGAAATGTAAACCAACAAATAGCCAAGAACTTTAGCGACTCTAAAAATAAACGAGATATAATAAGATGCAAGAATAGAGGAGATGCAAAGCAAAAAATAACAAAACAAAAACAAAATAAGCAACAAGTTCTGTGAAATGATATTAAGAGCCGCTAATTATGCACATATTTCTTGAATTACGTAAAGAGTGACACTCCGTCGGACTGAATTAACGATAACCCGATCGTAATAAATCAAATCAATTGGCTTGTGCGAACGCGTACACTCAAAAGAAAAAATCGTTTTTTCACGCGTTTAGCTTTTCGTTTGTCTTTTTTCAACGTATTTCTTTCCATTCTGCGTGAGTGGCGCATGCGGTGTGAATGTGTGTATTCACGTGGCCTTGATCATTTTCATTTTAATGGACGCATTTAATAAAGCTCACGTGTTAAAGCTCCCAATTGTTCTAATGAAGCATTTTGTACGCGATCAACGTGCAATTTTTTTTATGAATAATGAACTTGCTTGGCAGCAATTGATATCTTTTTTTCTCTATTCTGTTAAATCATTTACAAGATTGAATAAGAAAGAGAGAAAGAGAGAAGAGAAAGGGGGCGAGAGAGAGAGAGAAAGAAAGAAAGAAAAACAAAAACAAGAACAAGAAGAAAGAGAAAAAGTAGAAAAAAAAATGGAATTTAAATGAAAGAGAAAAAAGTGATTCTATGCAAAAGAGAGGAGTAAAACCAAGCTGATTCTGTATATAATGCAAATTAATTTTGATTGACGTAAAAGTGAATCGATAAAATAAAAACGAGTTTTGCTTCATTCGTCGAAAGAAAGAGAGCCTTTGAACCAGTGATCGTACTATGTCCATGCGAGATTTGAATTTTTCATTTAAAAAACACCCAAACATTCTGCACACCGCTCACTCTTCTCGTGTCCATATGCAACTATCTCTTTATTTCGATTCGATTGGAGAAAAAAGTCCGACAAAAAACCGATATCGATGCAAACATTGTGCATGATCAGCTTTTGCGACCATCTGTTGGCTTTTTAGCACATTGAATGATCTAGTTTGAGTCGGGTGTTACCTTTTTTTTACTCTCGTCTTAATGATATAATTCATTTAATGGAATAATTGCACCTGATTGAAATATATGAGTAAAAGTTAAAGGCGATCAATGAATTGCCGAGTAATTTCCAGTGTGCACGCGAATCACAATAACAAAGTAAACATGAAGCAATGACAAGAGCAGCAGCAGCAGCAGCAGCAGCAGCAGAAGAAGAAAAAACTAGTTGTATGGACAAGGTTTAGGACTACTTAATATTATAAAGATAGTGGAGAAATCGCAATACGATGGGGACGACGATTTTAATGTCTCTGCGCAATTAATTTGCATTTTTTTAAAGCTCAATGCACAAGCGCAAACGAGCGCGCTTGCGCCCATGAGAGCGCAAAAATATGAGCAAAAATAATTTTAGCATCGCACACACGTTTCATGGCTTTTCCTCGTTTCACACATTCGCTCACTCTTCTAGTTTTTGTGTGACAATTTTTGCATAGAAAATGAATGCAAACGATTTATGCAGCAAAATCCATTTGGCCGGTGTCAATGAGCGGTGAGCTGAAATATCGAATGTGATTAGCTGCATGTCCTGTTACGATCAAACGATCGTGCGCACATGCGCATGCTTCAACGAAAGGTCCAATTCTCAACAATCCCCACACGTGATTTGATGGACATAAACACGCAGGTTGCTGTTCTGTCTATTTTTTTTCCACTCTTCTGTTTGCTTGCAACCGTAAACAAATGTCAAACACGAAGCGACGACAAAAAAAAATAATAATCAACATAAAAAGTTGGACTCTTGTGGAGTGTAGAAAAAAAATTGTGTAAAAAAAAAGTATTTGCAACTATCTGAACCGGTTTCATTTGTGAGGCGAAAATCTCAAAATGAGAGCTATGAACAAAAAAAAGTATAAACCGTGTTGAAATGGTTTTATGCACAGCGAAGGGAAAAAATCCATTAAGTTATGCATATTCAATTGGTTGAGTTTATTTTTTATGTTGATCGCGCTTTTGCTTTGCTTTGTTTAAAGCCGAGAGAACGAGTTTGTCCTCCTGGCATATGTAGAAGAAGAAAAAAATAAAAAACTATGACAACAATTAATTTCGCCAAATGCGCGATGAGATGTGATATCTCTTTCATCTTCAGTGGTTCGATTTACTTTTTTTTAACATTAGGTTTTATTTTTTGTTAATTTTGTTTTTTATTGTTAATTTCAGAACGATCGACGCATATTTCTCAAATAAGCAACGTTTCAAGAATGACTTTGTCTAGTCTCTCGGCGTGTGATGAAGATTAAGCCAACACATAATTAACGTGAAACTCCTGTTTCTAGCTTATGGTAACGAATTCACGGAACTAAAAACCCAATCTATTTCTATCGATTTTTTACGGTTCGATTGTTTTCTTTTTTTCTTTTTAAATTAATATGTTGTTTCTTCATGAGAACACGAATTTTCACCGTGTTTTCATTAGTTTAAATGGTTTTGAAATTGCGTGTCACCGTTTAATGACGCTCTCTTTCGTGGAATCTCTAGAATGGCTTATCAGAATCGGCATTTATGTTCTATGATGATAAAACGAAACCGATTAATACTTAACGTTTCCAGAGAAGAATAAAAGAACAAGCAAAGAATAAAACATGATGCGATCGTATGTTTAAGCGATCGTTCAATGGAAATTGATCGGATTTGCAATCGAATTTTACATTTGTTTCGGAAATTGGGAACAAACAAACAAACAAACAAATAAAAACACACAATGCGCGTATGGGTCTGTGTGGATTGTCAAATCAGAAGCAAAAACTATACTACACGATAAAGTAGTTATCAGAGAGAAGACTAAAGCGCACCAGTTTTTTTTGTCTGCATTGGATTTGTTAATCTGCGTGGCTGAAATGTAATCTAATCGTTAAATTTTGACATGTTCTGGATAGATTGACATTGACTTTAATCGCGGTGTCATCAATTCGCGTCTTCAAACTTTTTTATCTTTGTTTTTTTTTTATTTCATTTATTCGAATTTAATAAGCACTAAACACTTTTTTATCGTAATACTTGATACGGAACAAAAAGTTGGAAAAATTCCATCGAGAATAAACATTTTGTAACTATGCATTTCAATCACTCTCAGTCTATCTTCAACTCTATTTCTATCTATCACCTTTAGATTCTCTAATACCGTGAGTCACTCACTCATTCAATCTCTCTCTCTCTCTCTCTCTCTCTCTCTCTCTCTCTCTCTCTCTCTCTCTCTCTCTCTCTCTCTCTCTCGTA